CCCCCCCCTTCGATGACGTCAACCTGCGCGCCGATTCGACAGACGACAACGAGCAAGGGTGCAGAGCACACGGAGATCAGGGGGATCATGATGGCGTCACCTGGACGATCTCCACGAGGTAGAGGGTTGCATATGACAGGGCTACGAAGATCTTGTCACGGATGTTATCGCCATCTCATCCGCGGCCCAGTTATCGTTCCTTGTACTTCTTTCTGCTCTGTTGATACATTTGGTTCCTCATGCATCACTCTGTTCTCCCCTCTTCCTTTTCGCCATGACATGCAATCAGGAGATCACATAATTTTGGAACCCCCTGCGCGTCACATATGTGACGAACCACTTCACGACCTCATGCCATCCTTCGAACCCTTTCTTTTGCTTGTATCATACCAACCCCAGGAAAAACCCGTTTTGATTTCTTGATTTCAGGTGCCGCATTTTCCTTTTTGAGAGCTTTTTCGACTCCTGAGTTCTGTTTTTCTTTTTGCAAAGTCGGGAAATACATGGGAACTTACGTGCGCCTTAGCGAACGCACTGGGAATTGGGCTCGGTAGTTGGGAATTCCGGGATAAGCGGAACTTCGACGTGTCGTTTTTGGGTGTGTGAATGTTCTTGGGCGCGTCGGGGAAAACTCTCGGAATTTTGCGTAAATACGAATAGGCGTAGGATTTTTTTTTCCCGCGTCCTTTTTTCGTGCGCGGATATGGTGATTTCAATTTTGAATTAGAATAGAAGCAAGCCGTAACTATTTATGTGCCTTTTTCCTTTTTTTGTTGACGGCGCCATGCATGCAAAAGCTTCCTCCTCTCTGTCCCCCACATCGCTCCCTCCCGCGCCTCCCTTCCCTTCTCCCTCTTTTTTCTCTCTCCCCGTAACTGTTTTTCCTTCTCCCTCTCTCTCTCTCCCGCCTTGCTTTCGCGCGCCCATTTCCCTTTCTTGATCATCTGAATCTTGGACCCGTCTTGCGCCACCTCTCGCGCCTTTTCTCTTCTCACCCTCTGAGTCTGGCGTACGACGCCTGGTCGATCCCCCGATAACTCCCTCTCGCCAATTAGGTGCGTGGATCGATAGGACCTTCCTATCACGCGACGAATCTGATTGGTTGAACCTTGAGTTCCGAGGGATCAGCATGGCGTTCATAGAGCACTCTTCTCAAAGTCTTCTCCTCCTGCTTCTCCTCTTACACCTCATCTTTTCGGTCGCCTTCTCCCCCTTCTATCTCCCCTGTCGCAACTATAAAACCTGCAAGCACGTCCGCAAATCTCTCTTACGTTCTCGACTCCCAGGCCAACTTTCGGGAAGCAGTGGCTAGGCAGAGTGTTTTGAAGCGAGTCGGAAATTCATGTCGGGCTGACGATAGGCTGGCCGGTTGCGCGCTGGATCGCCACGACGGACTGTGGGATGTGGGTGAACTGTGTCGAGTTTACGACAGCTGGGTGACGATCGCAGTGGTGGGAGTTAGCACGCGACGGTCGGGATCGTCGGTGCGGGTATGAGGATCGATGTTCAGAGTTGAGTTGATTGGCCCGGGGCCATATTGGAATTAACGGCGAATGCGCCTTTGTTGCAGATTGTTATCTTTGGCGTGAGTGTACGGCGGCAACGCCGAGCTTTTCTCTCTCCAGACCTTGTCATCTTCTATTTTGATTTTCTTTCCCTCGACTCTCACTCTCTCTCTCACTCTTTCTATTTCTTCCTCTTGTTGAATGATGATGTGTCCGAATGATTGTCCCTCTCCCGGATGGGAATGAGTTTGCATCCTGTTTCTGTATGAAAGAACTCCTTCCGGAACTCTTCTATTAGTTTCCTGGGTAATCCTCCTACGCAAGGACCCTGTCTTCTTGTCTTGTGAATGGTGGATGCGTATGTACTGTGCAATGCGATCTATCATTTCCTGTGCATATCTCATTTTCGCACCTTCCACAGTGGATGCATGCATGGAGACGTGTGATTCTTTTTTTGATTAGACGATTGTCGTCGCGATTTTGTCCAAGAATGCAAGAGTGTTTAGATCAGTAGCTCTGTTTGCACTGCGGATGCCATCTGCCTTATGTTGCACGACATCAGCAGTCGAGCCACGAGGCGTCCCTGAGAAACAAGGCACCCAGGGACCAACGTTGTGTTGAACTGATCAGACCCGTAGCCATATGCGTGATCAAGTTGATCTATGTTTGCTCTCTCTCTCTTGTGTCAAAAAGATTGATCAGGGGGGGAAGGGGGACGCGCGAATCGCTTTTGTTCTTAATGACGTCTCATGATATTTTGTGATTGATTGACATGTGGACAGACAAGCACCCTTCGATTGGGCGCCAACCTTCCGTATCTCCCATCCCAACGCGACCTTTTCCTTACAGTGAGGAAAGGACACGTGTATGTGAGTGGGACGTACATGAAGCCGTTGCACAAATCGGCGGGCAGTATTACTTCCCTCCGGCCAACCGCTGTTCTGGGTTTGTAGAAGCCGGGTTTGTTATTATCGATAAGCACTTCCCACCTTACTCGGTATTGTTGCCATTTAACGAGTTGATCGTCATTTTGTGGACGGTAGTAGAACCCCACTGGCCGCGCACTCTGTGCACCGAGTGTTAGCGTTTTGAGCGTTACGAGTCCAGGGATTTCCACTACCGTGTGCAGAGTGAAGACGAGCATAAAGAAAGAGCCACGCGACTGAGACCCTCCACGTCAGACTCGGAACCAACCATCGAACGACGACGAGACTTAATACGAAAATGGGATACGCGAAGCGTGCCCAAGCCTTTCTGTTCTAAACGACGGACTGTGGCCCCGTGGGAGGCACGACAATACTTTTTGGATTGAATTTGGATCTTTCCCTCTCTTCCCGCCTTGCCCGCGCGCGCATTTCGCGACGTGCGAAAACAATCGACTCGCTCCATCGGACCAACACGGGGGATTTAAGTTTCGTATGTGTCACCACACTCAATTTCCAAAAATCCTTGGCGCACCCCATCTTGTTGTTTTTCTGGGCCTCTTTTCCGCACAGCTAACACTCCGCACGGAAGACAGCACAGGGCGTGAGGTTGCGCGTCAAACACCCCCACTTTCTGCTGGGTTACAGGGCAACGCAACTCACCCCAGCTCCGACCAGCGTCGTCCCGGCAGCAACCCTTGGTTGTCCCGTGGAACGCCCACCCCAAGACATCCGTAGATCTCTCTACCAGACCTCACGCTCCTGCATCGCAGGTTACAGGGCAACACCCTAGCATCGATCAGCATCGTTCTGGCATAGAACACCGCAGATCACTGAGTATAACAGCATTGAAACCACCTAAGACGAGTTAGTAGGGATCCCAGAGTCCTAAAAAACATTCCCAGGACCACTAAACAACCAACTCTTTTTGGGACAATCGAAAAACTTTTAGAAAAATATAAGAGCAGGGGGGCAAGACTTAATCTGCCTACTATCGTAGATTCCCCTTTGCAACAGATGGGGCGTCGGTCCAGGCTTTCGGTCCTCGTATCAGAACTCACTTGATCTCATACCCCCTTCTGCTAGGGTAACAGGGCACCACAAGCTTCCCCAGTACCGATCAACCTAGCTCTGACGGACAGGAAGTGCCTTCCTCCCTCGACAATTCCCTTAGCGGCAAGCCCTTTACAGGTTAAAGGGTCAAAACCCCGGCGCCAACTACGTCTGACGAGCTGGTTATGCCTTCCACCCTCGATATAACTTCACAGGCTTCAAGCTCCCCCTGGGTTACAGAGCATAGGCTCCAGCACTAGCCTATGTCGCCCCAACCTCGTCCTTCTAGCCTACTTACTCTAACAAACAACCCTTTCTGTTGTTAATCCCCTTGCTACCTTTCTTCCTTCAAATCTAGCTTCCCCCCCCCCTTTGGCTCACTGTGTAGTCATCGAAGTCACTCCTTCCCTCAAAAACAGAATCCTAACCCTCTGCTATAAGCAACCACCCCCTTGCCTTCTACGATCAGATGATCAAAATATAACCTTGGATTTCCTGGTCAGTTGGAAGATGATACCTCACCCGCCAGTGGACAGCCCATTCATTTGAAATCCCCTTCAGGTCAAAACAAGGCCAGAGAAACGCTCAGTGTCAGCGAAGGAGAAAGTCTGGCAGTGGAATGCAAATTATGCTCTATGACAGTTCGCATTTCTTAGGGGCAGGCAACAGTCTGCGTAGGAAAAAATGAGGCCCCAGTCCTCTGATGGTTGAAAAAAAGTATAAATCCAATGGCCTAGCTCAGTTGGTAAGGCACGCAAGTGACACTAAGGAGGTGTTGGGTTCAATCCCCATTGGCCTCATATACCTTTTTGGGCAAGCTTGGAGCCCGCCACCTAGAGATATGT